GAGAAATAAATTTCCATTGTTTATAAGCTACCCAGTCTATGGTATTAGTTACAGCAGCCCAACAGACTAAGACAAAGTCCTAAATAAAGGGAGAGCTATCCTGTGTTCATGGGCTGGAAGACAATATTGTTCAGGAGGTAACATTAGAGACATTACAGATTCAATGCAAACCCCAATGGCCTTGTTCAACAGGAATGAAAAAGCAGGTGCAAAAAACATATGGGATTGCAACTGACTTCAAATAGCCGAAACAATGTTGAAAAGGGGAGAACAAAATTTAAGGACTCCCACTTCCCAATTTCAAATATTACTACAAACAAAGCTACTATCAAAACCTTATGATCAAAACGTTGTGGACTACCATAAGAATAGGCATACAGAGCAATGAAATAGAATTAACAGCCCAGAAATAAATTCACATATCTGTGGCTAAGTAAGTTTCAACAAGAGTACCATGACAATTCAAAGAGAAAAGAACAGTCTCTTCAAAATTGGTGTTGGGATAATCGTACATCCACATTCAAAAGTATGAGGTTGGATCCATATTTCACAGCATATACAAAAATTAACTCAAAATGAATCTGAGATCTAAATGTAGGTGGTAAACTTAAAAATTCTTAGAAAAAAGCAAAATGAGTACACATCAAGCAAAGAGATCTCAAATAAAAAATGTAACATTATACCTCAAGGAATAAGAAAAAGAAAATCATGCTAATCCCAACATTAGCAGAAGAAAGGAAATAATACATTAGAGCAGAAATAAATGAAATAGGAAAAAATAGAAATGGTTAACAAAACCAAAACTTGGTTTTTTGAAAAGATAAAACTGACAACCTTTAGCTATAATAAGAAAAAAAGAGGATCCAAATACATGAAATTATAAATTAAAGAAGAGACATTGCTCTGATACCCAGAAATACAAAGGAGCCAAAGAGACTACTATGAATAACTATACACCAAAAATTGGACAACTGAGAAGAAACTGATAAATTCCTAGAAACATGCAACCTACCAAGACTGGAATCATAAAGAAGTAGAAAATTTGAACAGATCAATAGTGACTAAGGAGATAGAATCATTAACCAAAAATTTCCCCCCAGCCCCACAAAAAAGCCCAGAACCAGATGGCTTCACTGATGAATTCTACCAAATATTTAAAGAACTAATGTGAATCTTTTTCAAACTTCAAAAAAACTGAAGAGGAGGTAACATGCTCAAACCATTTTACAAGGCCTGATACTAAAGCCAGATAAGGACACTAATCAAAAAGAAAACTATACGCCAATATTCCTGATGAATATAGATGGAAAAATCCTCAACAAAATACTGGCAAACCAAAATGAACAGCACATTAAAACTAACAAACAACATGAGTAAGTGGGATTCATCTCTGAGATGCAAGGACGGTTCAACATATGCAAATCAACAAATGTGATTTATCACATTAATAGAATGAAAAATAAAAACCACATGGTCATCTCAATGTATGCAAAAATGTATCTGACAAAATTCAACTTCCATTCAAAATAAAACTCTCAACAAATTAGGTACAGAATGAATCTACCTTAATATAATAATGGCCATGTATGACAAGTCCACAGCTAACATCATACTCAATATGAAAGGCTGAAAGATTTTCCTCTAAGATCAGGAACAAGGAAAGGATGCCCACTCTCACCACACCTATATAACATAGTACTGGAAGTCCTAGCCAGAGCAGTCCGGCAAAACAAAGAAATAAAGGACACCTGAATCAAACAAGGAGAAGTGAAACTATCTCTGTCTGCATATGACGTAATTTTACATAGAGAAAATCCTAAGGATTTCAGCAAAAAACTGTTAGACTTAATAAATGAATTTAGTTAAGTTTCAGGATACAAAGCAACATGCAAAAATTGGTATAATTTCTATATAATAACAAATTATCTGAAAAGAAATAAAGAAACAATCTTATTTACAGTACTATCAAAACCAAAAAAATACATAAGAGTAAATTTAAACAAGGAGGTAAAAGGTCTATACACTGAAAATTACAAGACAGTGATGAAAGAAACTGAAGAAGACACAAATAAATGGAGATGCCTCATGTTCATGAATTGAATGAAATTAATATTGCTAAAATATCCATAAAACCCAAAGTAACCTACAGATTCAACGTAATCTTTACTAAGATTCCAATGTATTTTTTACAGAAATAGAAAAAAAAAATCCTAAAATTTGTATGGAATCACAAAAGACCCTGAATAAGTTATCAATGCAGTTCTAAGAAAAAACGAAGCTGGAAGTATCACACTTCTAATTTCAAATTATATTACAAAGGTATAGTAGTCAAAACAATATGGTACTGGCATAAAAACAAACACATAGTCCTATGGAATAGAACTGAAAATCCAGGAAATAAACCTATGCATGTAAGGTCAACTATATTTGACAAGAAAGCCAAGAATACTCAGTTGAGAACAGACAGTCTCTCCAATAAATGATACTGGGAAAACTGGACATTCACATGCAAAAGAATGAAACTAGACTCCTATCTCATGCCACACACAAAAATTAACTCAAAATGGATTAAAGACTTAAATGTAAAACTTAAACCATAAAAATCCTAGGAGAAAACACAGGGAAAAGCTGGTGCTGGCAATGACTTTATGACTATGACACCAAAGCACAAGCAATGAAAACAAAAGTAAACAAATGGGACTACATACAACTAAAAAAGCTTCTTCACAGCAAAAGAAACAATCAACAAACTGAAAAGACAACCTAGAGAATGGTATAAAATATTTGATAACCACATAAATTTGATAAGACAATAATATCCTAAATATATAAGGAACTCATACAATTCAAAAACAAAAAACAAATAGCCCAATTAAAAATTGAAAAGGACCTGAATAGACTTTTTTTTCTTAGAAAGTATTCAAATGGCCAACAGGTAAATGAAAAGGTGCTCAACGTCACAAATCATCACAAAATGAAAATCAAAACCATGAGATATCACCCACATCTGTTAGAATGATGATTATCCAAAAGACAAGAGATGAGTGATAGCAAGGATGTGGAAAAGAGGTAACCTTTATGCACCTTTAGTGGGAATATGAATTGGTATAGCTACTATGGAAAATAGTAGGGAGGTTCCTCAAAAGGTAAAAACAAACAAACAAACAAACAATAGAACTACCATATGATCCAGCAATTCCACTTCTGGATATACATCTGAAGGAAATGAAATCACTATCTCTTAGAGATATCTGTACCCACGTATTCAATGCGGCACCATTTACCATAGCTAAGACATAGAAACAACCTAAGTATCCATCAACAGATGAACAGATAAAGAAAATATGCTACACACACACACACACACACACACACAGGAATATTATTCAGCCATAAAAATGAAGGAGATTCTGCCATGTGTAACAACACAGATAAAACTTGAGGGCATTTTGTTAAGTGAAACAAGTCAGAGAAAGACAAATACTGTATGACCTTACTTATATGTGGAATCTACAAAAACTGAACTCAGAAAAAGAGAACAGATTGATGATTGCCAGGGGCACGGACTGGGGGTGAGGGAAATGAATGAAGGAAGACAAAGGGTACAAATAAATTCAGGATGTAACGCAGAGCTTGGTTAATATAGTTAATAATACTGTATTGTATATATCTGAAAGTTGCTAGAAGAGTAGATTTTAAAAGTTCTTACTGCAGAAATAAATAAATTGTAACTATGTGAGAAGATCTATGTGTTTAACCTTATTATGGTAAACATTTTGCAATATATAGATACATCAAATCCTTATGTTGTACACTTTGAACTAACATATTGTTATATGTCAATTATATATCAATAAAGCTAGGGAAAAAAATCAAAATTGGGCAAAGGACTTGAATGGACTTTTCTCCAATAAAATATATGAATGGTCAATAAGCACATGAAAAGATGCTCAACATCATGAGTCATTAGAGAAATGCAAATTAAGCCCACAGTGAACTAATTTCTATTGAAAATCATCTCTTTCCTCTTATGGGTTCAAGTACACTTTCAGCTTTTCTCAAGACTATTAAATGCCTATTAATAGCACCTATTCAATACACCAGGTACAAAGACCCCATAACTCTCATGAATGCTAACAGTGGGTCTTTGATGAGCTAAATAAAGACTCAGACTATCTTTCATAATTTGCCTCAGGGGCTGGAGAACAACTCTCAAAATTTTTTCTGGAGAAAAGAAGTAAGGAAGATAAAAGATAGTGAAAATGGGGTTGAACACCTCTTATTCTTTTCTCTGAAAGCTTCGCACCTCTCACTTGTATCTAAACATTCAATCCTAGATGGCCAAGAAAGAGAGAGGGAATATCAGAGAAATAGGTAAGTGTAAACAAACACTGACAGTAGAGGAATCAAGGACAGAGGGTAAAGGAGAAAGAAAGGAAACAGCAACATACCATTTGAGATGAAAAGTGGAGGGGGTCCTCTTGCTACTGGGACCCATTAAGAACACATGCATGGGTATTCCTAAATGCTCATTCATAAACGGGCCCTTTATAAATCTAAAGTCTTCAGATATTAAGTCCAATTCTTGGTTTTCCAGAATATACTGGGCTTTTGCTCTGCATTGTTAGGAAAAGCAACCTAAGCTGTTAGAACAGTCCCTCTGGTCTAAACTGTTAACCTAGCTTATTATATAATTACATGCTTTTACAAATTAAATCTTTGTAGCTAAATATCATGATAGATATTCCTCATACTAAATTCCATTCTATAGTAAATTATCATAGCAATGTTTAAGTTATTTGGGAACCCAAACTTTTCATTAAGTACATGAATCAGCAGAAATGTATTTGGGGGCTATAAGATCTAAGAAGTGAAAGTAAAGAATATGAAACATTCAGATCTATAGCATTTACATTCTAAAAATGCCACTAGTAACTCAGGTCTCTAAGATTAGTTTTGCAGTCTAACTTTGTTTTCTTTAAAGAATTGCATATACTTACCTGAAAATGTAAAAAACAATTCATTTTGCAAACCAGCTCTTTGCATTTTAACATGATGGCATTCAGACTTCAGTAAGAAAACTTGACATGAAAGGTCAAGAACCAATTTGCTTAAAATCTCAAGAAGTTTCTTCTCAAAAGAAACATTATAGATAGTATTGCAGGGAGCTGCATGATATCGAGCTGTGAACTGGTAATAATAATGTGGCTCACGATAAGCTGCAAAAAATTAAACAGAGAACAATATAGCAATGGTTATTTAAGCAATTCAAATATATTTCAGCTATTCAAGAGAAATCATTATTTGGAATACATTTGACCCTTGAACAACGCGGGGTTAGGGTTAGGAACACCAACCACACTCCCAGTTGAAAATACATGTATAATTTATAGTCAGCCCTCCTCACCCATATTCCTCTGAATCCAGGGTTCTGCAATGTGTGGATGTGGATCATGTGGTACTGCAGTATTTGCTACTGAAAACATCCATGTATAATGGACCCACACAGTTCAAACCCATGTTGTTCAAAGGTGAACTGTATATGTTTCTATATACAGCCATATATAAATATTTTTTTAATTTAACAAGCACTTATCTAGCAGCTACTAAGTGACAAATGCTGTTATAGGCACTTTAAAAATAGAAACTCATTTAAATCTCCTAAGATTATTAAAGATTGGTATAATCTTCACATCCAGCATGTATTGAGGGATACTATGTCACATGCCTAATGCCTGTGCTGTCAAAACTGAGACTCTAGCTGAGGAGCCTAGCCCAGAGTCTGTGCCCTTAACCACCATGTCATGCTGCCTCAAACTCAGGTATGAGACTTCCCTAAGTTTAAATATTCATCTTAGGGGACGAGGGGAAGATGGCAGAAGAGTAAGATGCAGAGATCACCTTTCTCCCCACAGATACACCAGAAATACACCTACACGTGGAACAACTCCTGCAGAACACCTACTGAACGCTGGCAGAAGGCCTCAGACCTCCCAAAAGGCAAGAAACTCCCTGCGTACCTGGGTAGGGCAAAAGAAAAAAGAAAAAACAGAGACAAAAGAATAGGGATGGAACCCGCACCAGTGGGAGGGAGCTGTGAAGGAGGAAAGGTTTCCACACACTAGGAAGCCCCTTCGTGGGTGGAGACTGCGGGTGGCGGAGGGGGAAAGCTTCGCAGCCGCGGGGGAGAGCGCAGCCACAGGGGTGTGGAGGGCAAAGTGGAGAGATTCCAGCACAGAGGATCGGTGCTGACTGGCACTCACCAGCCCGAGAGGCTTCTCTGCTCACCGCCGGGGCGGGCGGGGCTGGGAGCAGAGGCTGGGGCTTCAGTCTGAGCGCAGGGAGAGGACTGGGGTTGGTGGCGTGAACACAGCCTGCAGGGGGTTAGTGCGCCACGGCTGGCCGGGAGGGAATCCGGGGGAAAGTCTGGACCTGCCGAAGAGGCAAGAGACTTTTCTTCCCTCTTTGTTTCCTGGTGCGCAAGGAGAGAGGATTAAGAGCGCTGCTTAAAGGAGTTCTAGAGACGCGCGCGAGCCGCGGCTAAAAGCGCGGACCACAGAGACGGGCGTGAGACAGTAAGGCTGCTGCTGCTGCCACCAAGAAGCCTGTGTGTGAGCACAGGTCACTAGCCACACCTCCCTTCCAGGGAGACTGTGCACCCCGCCACTACCAGGGTCCCGGAATCCAGGGACAACTTCCCGGGGAGAATGTACAGCATGCTTCAGGCTGGTGCAACGTCACGCCGGCCTCTGACGCCACAGGCTCGTCCCACACTCCGTGCCCCTCCCTCCCCCCCGGCCTGAGTGAGCCTGAGCCCCCGAATCAGCGGCTCCTTTAACCCCATCCTGTCTGAGTGAAGAATAGATGCCCTCCAGCGACCTACACACAGAGGCGGGGCCAAATCCAAAGCTGAACCCCAGGAGCTGTGCAAACAAAGAAGAGAAAGGGAAATCTCTCCCAGCAGCCTCAGAAGCAGTGGATTAAAGCTCCACAATCAACTGGATGTACCTGCATCTGTGCAATACCTGAATAGACAACGAATCATCCCAAATTGAGGAGGTGCACTGTGAGAGCAACATTTATGATTTTTTCCCGTTTTCCTCTTTTTGTGACTGTATGTGTATGCTTCTGTGTGAGATTTTGTCTGTATAGCTTTGCTTCCACCATTTGTCCTAGGGTTCTATCTGCCCGTTTTTTTTTTTTTTCTTAATAATTATTTTTTGTTTTAATAACTTTATTATATTTTATCTTACTTTATTTTATTTTACTCTATCTTCTTTCTTTCTTTCCTCCCTTCCCTCTTTCCTTCCTTCCTCCCTCCCTCCTTTCTTTCTTTCTTTCTTTCTTTCTTACGACTTCTACTAATTCTTTCTTTCTACTTTTTCTCCCTTTTATTCTGAGCTATGTGGATGAAAGGCGCTTGGTGTTGCGGAGTCAGTGCTGTGCCTCTGAGGTGGGAGAGCCAACTTCAGGACACTGGTCCACAAGAGACCTCCCAGCTCCACATAATATAAAATGGCAAAAATCTCCCAGAGATCTCCATCTCAACACAGCACCCAGCTTCACTCAACGACCAGCAAGCTACAGTGCTGGACACCCTATGCAAAACAACTGGCAAGACAGGAAAACAACGCCATCCATTAGCAGAGAGGCTGCCTAAAATCATAATAAGTCCACAGACACCCCAAAACACACCACCAGACGTGGACCTGCCAAGCAGAAAGACAAGATCCAGCCTCATCCACCAGAACACAGGCACTACTCCCCTCCACCAGGAAGCCTATATAACCCACTGAACCAACCTTAGCCACTGGGGAAAGACACCAAAAACAACGGGAACTACGAACCTGCAGCCTGCAAAAAGGAGAACCCAAACACAGTAAGATAAGCAAAATGAGAGACAAAAAAACACACAGCAGATGAAGGAGCAAGATAAAAACCCACCAGACCTAACAAATGAAGAGGAAATAGGCAGTCTACCTGAAGAAGAATTCAGAATAATGATAGTAAAGATGATCCAAAATCTTGGAAATAGAATAGACAAAATGCAAGAAACATTTAACAAAGACCTAGAAGAACTAAAGATGAAACAAACAACGATGAGTAACACAATAAATGAAATGAAAAATACTGTAGATGGGATCAATAGCAGAATAACTGAGGCAGAAGAACGGGTAAGTGACCTGGAAGATAAAATAGTGGAAATAACTACTGCAGAGCAGAATAAAGAAAAAAGAATGAAAAGAACTGAGGACAGTCTCAGAGACTTCTGGGACAACATTAAATGCACCAACATTCGAATTATAGGGGTTCCAGAAGAAGAAGAGAAAAAGAAAGGGACTGAGAAAATATTTGAAGAGACTACAGCTGAAAACTTCCCTAATATGGGAAAGGAAATAGTTAATCAAGTCCAGGAAGCACAGAGAGACCCATACAAGATAAATCCAAGGAGAAATACGCCAGGACACATATTAATCAAACTGTCAAAAATTAAATACAAAGAAAACATATTAATAGAAGCAAAGGAAAAACAACAAATAACACACAAGGGAATCCCCATAAGTTTAACAGCTGATCTTTCAGCAGAAACTCTGCAAGCCAGAAGGGACTGGCAGGACATATTTAAAGTGAAGGAGAAAAACCTGCAAACAAGATGACTCTACCCAGCTAGGATCTCATTCAGACTGATGGAGAAATTACAACCTTTACAGACAAGCAAAAGCTAAGAGAGTGCAGCACCACCAAACCAGCTTTACAACAAATGCTAAAGGAACTTCTCTAGGCAAGAAACACAAGAGAAGGAAACGACCTACAATGACGAACCCAAAACAATTAAGAAAACAGGAATAGGAACATACATCTCGATAATTACCTAAAATGTAAATGGACAAAATGCTCCCACCAAAAGACACAAATTGGCTGAATGGATACATAAACAAGACCCATATATATGCTGTCTACAAGAGACCTACTTCAGACTTAGAAACACATACAGACTGAAAGTAAGGGGATGGAAAAAGATATTCCATGCAAATGGAAACCAAAAGAAAGCTGGAGTAGCAATTCTCATATCAGACAAAATAGACTTTAAAATAAAGACTATTAGAAGAGACAAAGGACACTACATAATGTTCAAGGGATCAATCCAAGAAGATGTAACAATTGTAAATATTTAGGCGCCCAACATAGGAGCACCTCAATACATAAGGCAAATAATAACAGCCATAAAAGGGGTAATTGACAGTAACACATTCATAGTAGGGGACTTTTACACCCTACTTTCACCAATGGACAGATCATCCAAAATGAAAATAAATAAGGAAACACAAGCTTTAAATAATACATTAAACAGGATGGACTTAAGTGATATTTATAGGACATTCCATCCAAAAACAACAGAATACACATTTTTCTCAAGTGTTCGTGGAACATTCTCCAGGATAGATAATATCTCGGGTCACAAATCAAGCCTTGGTAAATTTCAGAAAAATGAAATTGTATCAAGTATCTTTTCCGACCACAATGCTATGAGACTATATATCAATTACAGGAAAAGGTCTGTAAAAAATACAAACACATAGAGGCTAAACAATACACTACTTAATAACGAAGTGATCACTGAAGAAATCAAAGAGGAAATCAAAAAATACGTACAAACAAATGACAATGGAGACACGACGAGCCAAAACCTATGGGATGCAGCAAAAGCAGTTCTAAGAGGGAAGTTTAGAGCACTACAATCCTACCTTAAGAAACAGGACACAACTCGAATAAACAACCTAACCTTGCACCTAAAGCAATTAGAGAAAGAAGAACAAAAAATATCCAACGTTAGCAGAAGGAAAGAAATCATAAAAATCAGATCAGAAATAAATGAAAAGGAAATGAAGGAAACGATAGCAAAGATCAATAAAACTAAAAGCTGGTTCTTTGAGAAGATAAACAGAATTGATAAACCATTAGCCAGACTCATCAAGAAAAAAAGGGAGAAGACTCAAACCAATAGAATTAGAAATGAAAAAGGAGAAGTAACAACTGACACTGCAGAGATACAAAAGATCATCAGAGATTACTACAAGCAACTCTATGCCAATAAAATGGACAACCTGGAAGAAATGGACAAATTCTTAGAAATGCACAACCTGCCAAGACTGAATCAGGAAGAAATAGAAAATATGAACAGACCAATCACAAGCACTGAAATTGAGACTGTGATTAA